TATGCAGAATGCATGTATGCAAAAGGTATTGATCCCAAAAAGTTAACTGTCATAGAACAACTTTCATCGGCATACAAAAGTTTCTTTATAATAGTTCATAACTAAAGATAAGGCGTAGCTTTCCTATTAAGCTCTATAATTTCTTTCATTAACCATGACACCTTCTTTCCGAATTTAGAAACTGGATCAACGTGATGCTCGATTATTTTTGCTTCAACAGCTAGTTCCCCAACATATCTAGCAACTTCACTCATTTGTACCATGGCCTCGAATACCATATTACTTCTTTCTTCATTTCTTTATACATAAAAATCAGTTGATTTTTGCCATTGTTCATTTGTTCCTTCGAGAGTTTGCTCTAACTCAGTGATTATGACTTGATAATTGTGCAGAGTTTTTTCAAGATCTCTAATGCGTCTTCGCAGTGAGGCACTTTCCTCATTACTTTCTTTGAGATCACTAGGTCCTAGATGAACCTTTTCTTGAAATAACGACTCTTCAAGTTGCAAAATGTAAGCATTAAATTCTGAGTTTTTGTTTCTAGACTGATCCAGATCCTCTTCAAGTTTTATTCGTGCTTCTTGCATTCTTTGATTAAGCTTCTGGATTTGAACATTCTTGTTTCTGCATCTTTGCATCCAATTGCTAGCCACTTCTTGCTCTACCTCAAGTTTGGTGTTGAAATTCTTTCTTTCCAGCTCCCATTTTTCTTTTTCAACATTGAACTCTTCAATCCTTTGGCCCCTGACTTTAAGTTCGGCAATTAGATGGTTCATTTCAGATTCAAATCCCTTGAACATGATATTTTTCTCATCCTCAAATTTATCAAAGATGTCATTCTTCATCTCTTCTAAATCTTTGGCTCGATCCCTTTCTCTTTGTATTTCATTCATGATCTCGCGGTGTTCAGCTTTGTGTTTTATAATTCATTCTCTTCTGTCAACCTCAATATCTTCCATTTTTTGCTTTCCTTTCTCAAGGCTTTTGAGTAGACGGCTATTCTTTCCTTTCAGATCTTCAACTCGACTTTTCTCGATGTTTAATTCTCTGATCATCTGTACTGTTGATCGGCTTGGTCCTGATGCTTTCCGGGATTTATATAACTCCTGGTAATTTTTCTTTAATGCTCTGAATTCACCATCAACATTTTCTTTGTTTTCTCTCAACATTGCACATTGTGATGAATGAAAGTCAATGTCAACACTCAACATAGCTTTATCTCGTCTCATTTGCTCTAATTCTCTTGACCAATCTTCTCTTTCTGCTTCAAACTCAACTCTCAGGATTTCAATCTATGATGGAACCACCTTAATGCGATCTTCCATAGAGATATCCTCATTTTGGTCTGGTAGAGGAATATTTTCATTTTTCCTGACAGATCTCCATTCCTCATAATCAGGAGTTAGCATTTCTTTTGCTGCTTTAGCTCGGATACAAAAAGTTGTTTTCCAAGCTGTAAAGGCTTCCATGATATTTCTTTTATAATTTTTGCTGTGGAATGCGAACTCAGATGAATGTAATCCAGCAGTGACAGGTACAAATTGACGACCTTCATACTGTCTTATGACCAGAAGTGGTGCATATCCAATTCCTCCCCACAATCCGAGCAGCATTATCCAGTTGTAATCACCACATTTGTAAAAGAATTCCCTTTGGATTTGCCACGGGGCTCGCCAAACAATATCATTGCTTTGCAGATTTCGAAAGGCATTAATCCACATATCTTTCTTAATTTCTTTCGGCCATTCTTGCTCCAGAAATTCTTTCAATGGTGAGTAGTCCGTATTAAAGCGTCGGTATGAAACCTTTTCTGTCCTCCAGAAATGGCTACAGATCCAGACATATAACAATTGGGTACACCCTGAGAATCTTCCACCTCCTAGCTTTCTACAAGCGTTTAATGATCTGAAAGTCTCTGCTAGAATTGCAGATGCAGGATTAATCTTTTTTGGTAGCTGCTCAAACAAATCTACTACTGCAGCTTCAATATATCCCAATACTTTTGGGAAGATGACCATACCATACATACCCAGAGCAAAGAGATCAAATCGTACTTTAGTGTCTGGATGACTCTGAATAAGTTCTTTAATGTTGGTCCAAGCAATGCCTTCGCTTTCGCCCTTTTGTTTTGTACGGGATGCCACCCATTCTTCTCGTACTCCAGCAATCTTTGCTAATTTAACTCGAAAGGGTTGAGTTTTAATTGACTTTGAATAAATTCGATTCTCCAAAGCCCCTTCTATATGTAGCAAAGTTGTGTACTCTTAAATAGTAGGGACCAAGTCCTCTTTATTGATAGTGAAGCAATTGTACCCTGGATTCCAGAATTGAATTAGGGCTCGAAGTAAGTCCTCATCAACTTCAACATAGAGTAAATATGGGATATCTCCGTAAGTCTGATAAAACTGCAACTTTTTGTTTGAGTCCCAACTTTCCCAAATGCTTCGCAAATCTTGCATATCATTTCTTTTTAGCGAAACTGGAGCATAACTGGCCAAGTCAGATACATAGTCATCTTGCAGACTGTCTCCTCCTTGTCTTTATAAGTCCTCATCCCACTGTCTTACTTCTGAGTTTAGAACTATTTGATTTGAACACTTTTTATCCATGGATGAAGGTTTTCCAATAAGACAATTAACACGAGGATCAATGCCTTTTATCCTGTATGATGCTATGCAAACAAAAGAAATAAAAAACACACAAAAAGAAATGAATTAGTTTACATAAAAAATAATTTAATAATAATGTCTACCTAAATATCTTTATTTAAACATGCTTTCTTCATACTTTAAATAATTTAAAATTCACATGCAATTTAATCAGTAAAAAAATTAATAAATTAAACGGAAAGTTAGAATTCATTTCTCCTGTGTGTACACCTATTTTGGACAAAATTTTGGCATGGCTTCAAATCGAAAGAGTTTCTAGGGTTTATTATATGCAGGGTTTCAGATCTATGAATAAAGGTACCTGAATTGTCCTTGTTAGTGCCCCCTTGGGCTGTTAACCCTCAATCCTAGTCCATCAAAGACTAAAGTGGATCGAGTTCAATTCGAGGGGATACACTTCTCTATGCCTGACACAGAGAATAAATTCACACGAAGACATAGAGCATATGAACCCCGAAAGTTACTTGCTAGGTCTGACACAGAGAATAAATTCTCACGAAGACGTCGCTTTCACTCTCACTTAAAAGGGACAAACTCAATTATAGAGCTTTATGTTATGCAATGCAAGTGTTGTGTTTGAGGAGAAATGTTCAAACCTCTGACAGAAAAAATAAATAATGAAATAAAATACTTGTAAGTAAAATGAAATATAAATATAAATATTATAAAAATAATAAGTATATAAAAATTTGAAAAGAAAGAATTATAAATTAAATATATGAATTTTAATTTATAATTAATAGAGACAATTTATAATTGATTTTAAAAGTTTGACCAGGTTCCCAGTGGAGTCGCCAAGCTGGCGTAACCGGTTTTCGCCCGGGCACGAATTTTTACTTGGCGGGAAAAGTGATGTTAATAAATTAATGATTTTTATTTTTTTTTAAAATATTTTGGGAGTCGCCATCGGCCTTTTGGGTCAGGTAGGTCGAATACCTAAAAATCATCTTTTAAAAGAGATTTTAAGAAAACATCGATTAAAAGATAAATTGATCTGCGTTTTAACCAAAAATTCATTCTTTTTAATAATAAAAGGGATTCGTGGTCGGTTACGTTTAGGGAAGGATTAGCACCCCTACAACGCCCAAAATTGGTACTTTTTAATTATAAATTGTCTCTATTATTAAAATTTCAAAATATATTTAATTTATAATCCTATTTAATTCAAATATTTTTAAGAAAATATATCAAACATAAATAAGATATTTACTTATTTAGAAATATCAGAAAATGACTTCTAGGTGCCTTAAGACAACTCTTTTCTTCGATATTAATAAATATTATAATAATAAAATTAAATTATAATTTTTTATCATAATATTTAATTTTAAAATACCAGAATAGGACATCCAGTTGTATTAAGACTGCCCTTTTCTTTGATATTGAAAAATAAATAAATATTAAAATATGATAAAAACATAATTTATGTAAAATCAAATTAATATTTAATATAAATTATTATTTATTATATATATTTATATGACTATATAATAATAAAAAATATTTTAATATAAACAAGTAAAATAAAACATAAATAAACAATAATAAAAATAAAATTAGAACTATATATTTAAAAGCAGTAAAATTTTATAATAAATGAAAATATTTAAAATTAGTAACTAAATTATAATCTAATAAAATTAAATACCTAAATCGTAATTAATTATTTAAAATTACAGGGATTAAACATGTTATTCTCCTTATTTATTAATTTGGTGACTAAAATAAAATTATATAAAATTCATATATCAAATTAAAATAAATTGAAATATATTGTTCGGGGTTTAAAATATCAATTATTAAAATTAAAGGACTAAATATGATATTTATCCTAAATATATTATTTTAATATAAAGGACTAAAATAAATAAAATTAAAGTTAAAGAACCGAATTAAAAGGATTATAAATTGATTTAGTGACTAAAATGTAAGGATTACAAATTAGGATGGCTACGGAAAGGGTTTAACTTTTAGTTAATTACATACAGACCCCTCCCCAAAACGGTGTCGTTTGGGGAGGGCTATTTAAGTCCCATAATCGACTGGCCCGAAGGGCCAGCTCTCATTTCTCCTCTTCACTCTCTCTCTCTTCTTTGAGAGAGTTTTAAAAACTCTCTCGCTTCTCTCTAAAACAGATAGAAGCAACGGCCGGCAGCCATTTGCCGGCGTTAACCCCGCCGCCGGTCACCGCATCCGGTGGCCGGAAAAAATTTTTACACCTAAATATAGATCGGATCATCCTATTGATGGTTCCGATGACCGTTTCCCTTAAAACATTCCCGATCGGAGCAAATCTACGAAAATACCTTCGGTTTTCGAAGGTTTCCGATGATGTGTGAAGGCTCCCGTGATGTTGCAGCTTCCTCAGTAAGTATCTCTCCGTCTTCTCCTTGCTTATTTTGGTGTTTGTGGTTGTTGGTTTGCTCGTTTTTTCCTTGTTTTTTTTTTCTTTTTCTCTCTCTGTTGGTTGTCGTGGTTGCCTTCTTTTTTTTTTCTTTGCAGATTGTCAATGGCTTTATAGCCATCACCGGTGTGGCTATCGGACCGTGTAAAAGAGTGGAGTCTGGTGAGTCACCGGACTTCCAGTGGTGACTCACCGTTGGGGCGACATGTGTGCGGCTGGAGTGGCTCTTCTGGAAGCTTTCGACGAGACGTGGCAGCGGTGGAGATGGTGGGAGTAGCTGCGGCGGCCGCGTAGCCCTAGGGTATCATCACCCTAGGGTTTGTGCTGGATGAGTGTGGGCCGTTGGATCTCTCAGATCCAACGGCTGAGATTGAGGCGGCTGGCGCACGGGGCTAGGGTTAGAAAACCCTAACTGAAACCCTAAATATTTTAGGGTTTCCATCTAGTTTGGGCCAACTAGTTGTTTGTAACTGGACCGGTCCAGTTTTCATTGGGCCTGTAATTATTTTTTAATAATAATAATAATATAATAATAATAATAATTATTATTATAATAATAATAATAATAAATAAATAAATAAAATGGGTAAAAAATTAGTATCTTCAATGCTCAATTGGGGCTTCATACTTTATGCTAAGCTTGTTGTGAACTGACAGCAAATGAGTATCAAGAGTGGTCTTTGATGTTCAAAGAGGCTAATAGCACATTAGTTGATAGAGAGGTGAAGTACTATCCAATGATCTTTTTTTGTTTTCCGTTTGTTTCTTTATGTTTACCTTTTTGCACACTTTTGGTCGAGTTTTTATGATGGATGACTCAGTTTCTCTGGTCACAACATTCTGCAGTGGAGGATTGCTGAGGTTTGCCAAAGATTGGAACATGATTTTGAGGTTCTTGGAGTTACCGCGATAGAGAATCGTCTACAGGTGAAGTTGAGCTATTAAATCCAATTTTTGTGTACAAAACTTTTTTCATCTATATTTAAGTCAAATATACGTTAATTCCATGGAATATATTTTGGATGTTAACATTTGTCCTTTTGTTTTATTTTTAATTATTTTAGGATGGTGTACCTGAAACAATTGAGAAAATCAGGAAAGCAGGAATTAATTTTTGGATGCTGACTGGAGACAAGCAGAATACTGCCATACAGATTGCACTTTCATGCAATTTTATTTCCCCGGGTAGGTTAAACACATTTACATAAATTTCAATTCTTTGCATCAATAAAACGTCTTGCTGTTTATGTTTTTGTTTCAAATATCTAGGTCAATGAGAAGGACTACTTTTCTTGTTTCCTAAATGTTTGAAACTATGCTACTTGTATGATTTGTTGCTTGGATGGATTGGACAACTACATTTATTCAAGTTTTCATCCTTGAATTTCTCCACATATCTACAAATACTTGTTCTAATTAAGATTAAAAATAGAAATTGCGTTTGGGGAAAACTTAAAAAAGCATAAAAAAATTGAGTTTATCCTTATCTTCAAAATTTTAACATCTGAAATTGTTGCAGACTATATATACTGCATGGCTTTTCCTTTTATGTTACTAAAAATGCTTAAAAATTTTGTTATCCTTGATTATAATTTTTGGTGTTTCAAGCCATATTAATGAAAAAGCTAATGGAATTGGTGGGGGCAATAATTTAGGTTTTGGTTTGTTATAAGGGGTCATTATGCATTTTTAGGTGATTTGTCTGGTGGAATTGGTCTTTCGCCTTCAGTGTTGATTATATCGGTGCCACAAGAAATTCAATTGCTTTAATCAATGAATAGAATATGTCAAAGTTTGAATTCTCATCAGTGTTCATTACACATTTATAATGTTTCCTCTTTGTGCTACCTTCCGAATTTTCTATCAGAGCCAAATGGTCAGCTTCTTCTAATTGATGGAAAAGCTCAAAACGAAGTTTGTAGAAGTTTAGGGAGAGTTTTGCTTACAATGAGGATAACATCTTCAGAACCAAAGGTAAAAATAGTTGCTCCATCTTTGTAAATTTATGTGAAAGGCTCTCTGTTCTCATGTTATTTTTCTTTCTGGCTGCTATTCTTGTGTGTTAGCAATCTCAAAAATGCAGTTAATTGTACTATTTTAATTTTTTTAAGAGTAAATTGTTGACTTGATTAAGGGGAAATTTTCTGGTTATAAACTGAATTGTGATTCTGGGAAAAAAAATAGAGAGCCACCTGACATACAGATACTCCAAAAAAAACCACTGCGTTTAGAAAACATAAGGTCCTTGTTAACTTAATCAGATCATCATAAGACAAAGCTCAGCGCTTCTGCTATACACACTAAATTGTTGAAGGGCTACAAAAGTTATTGTCACTAGAATCAGACAATATGTTCGAGGCTCACAAAATTCATTTATTCACTCACATATGCATAAACCAAAAACTAAATATATATTTTCTATGAAAAAAGTAAACTGGGGATTGTTGACTTATGTATAGTTACTAGTCTGATGATAATGATATTTTATTTTCTCACATTCTTGGTTTAGTATTTAACTGAAATTCATGCTACATTACAATAATAGTAAGTTGTAACGATTGGTACCCTAAACAACCCTGTAAGGAACCTTTATTCCTTTCTATTGCTTCTTTAGGGTTTAATTATTTTATTATACTCTTTTTCTTTTTTTGAAATGTATTTTATTATACTCTTTGGATGAACGATTTGGTAAGTTTTTATCTGTCTATGTTTAACTCAAAAGGTTTACCTTTTTCACTTTTCCAATTCATTGAAGGATGTGGCATTTGTTGTTGATGGATGGGCTCTTGAAATTGCACTTAAGCATTATAGGAAAGCCTTTACAGAATTAGCTATTTTGTCAAGGACTGCTATATGCTGTCGTGTTACACCATCCCAAAAAGCACAGGTTTTGATTTTGTTATTAATTTTAAACATATTTTGGGTTTTTATATAGAAATTAAGTTACAACTACAAAACTGTCTGTTCTCACTCATAGTCATATTCATCGTGCTCACTTTTTAAATTTCTATTTCTATCAATTTTTCCTTATGGGTCATGTTAACCTCCACAATTGTGCTAGGATATTCTGAAATAAGAAGTTAATGTCTAAAATTATAAATTGATTGATACATTAAGTGTTTCCACTTTTTACAGGATCCTAGTAGAAATATATAAATAAAATTCCTAAAATTATCAAACCAGAATACGTTATATAATTCAAATTTGAAGAGGATGCATCTCTGACCCATAATAGTCAGCAATTTGATCTTTACCTTCACATTTCTTTCATCCAGTACCATTCATGGCTTTATAACTGATGTACAAGCTAATTAGTGAAGATGAAAAGGTATACATCACAGATTGCTTGTGTTTTGCTGCATCTACTGATAAGAACATACAGGACTATTAATGAGGGCAGAATAAATATTATGCTCGTCAAATCTTTACAATGATATTTTCACTATAGCTGGATGTGCCTTTTTCCAACATTTTATGTATGGATAATAAATACCTTTCTGCTCAAAATGGAGAGGAGAATAGGAAAGAACTGTTGGATCTCTTTCTATGCAGAATGGATTTGCTGGTACTACTATGAAGAAGCAACGGGAAATTATACCTTTTGATATTCTTGCTTCTTAGAAGAAATATTGAGTAAACACTGGCATGGCTTGGCGTGATACATACTTGGGAGTTCCAAATACTAACATAAATGTAAATTTTGGAAAAAAGAGGAAGAAAAGGAGGACAATGAAATTCGTCTTAATACATCATTTTGGTAGTTTTGTTTTTTTAGTGCTTCACCTCTCATTATGAAGTGAGAATTATCATTGCCCTAATATATTTTAGCTAGACCAGCTTCTAATGTTTATGCTCTGAACTCCCTTGTGATGTTAGAAGTACATAATCAAGTCTGTAGTTCTGTATTCTCTTATAGTCTTAATCTCATTGAAATTTTTACAGTATTAGGCTCTATTTCGCTTTTTTCTTGAGTTAATCTTATCCTTACTTAAATTGCCGGATATTTTAGTTGTGGCTCATTAACGGTGTTTATAAAGATTATATTTATTAGTTATTGCCTTTTTTTTATGGAAATGATGACTGATGCATGTAAATGAAATGATACTTTTGGCAGCTTGTCGAACTCTTGAAATCATGTGATTATAGAACATTGGCTATTGGGGATGGTGGAAATGATGTGAGAATGATACAACAAGCTGATATCGGTGTTGGCATTAGTGGAAGAGAAGGGCTGCAGACTGCAAGGGCATCTGATTATAGTATTGGAAGTAAGTAACCTTTAAATATTTAAAAAGCTTCAGGATTAATTGCGTAGTACTTATCTTCTTTTTGCCTATTAGTAAATTATGATGGAAGTTGTAATGAATCTAGACTAATCTTGAAAATTCTCAACCTGTATTCTATTCAGGCAATTAGTTGTGATTATATAATGAATATAAAGGAAGATTTGTTGTTATGACCCGTAGGCAAAATATAACATTTTTTAAGATAAGATAGATCATGGATCTTATAGAACTACTTCTTGGTGATAATATACTATTTAGCGGTTTTGAAGTGTCCTACTTTGTATAAAAAAGTGCTTAGGAGTGGCATTTTAGGTGTTCTTTTCTTTTCTTTATTTTCCTTGTAAAGTGATTACCTTTTATCGGTTTTCTTTTCCTAAATACCTTTCTTGGTTGCAGAGTTCAGGTTTCTCAAAAGATTGATACTTGTTCACGGTCGTTATTCCTACAATCGCACAGCATTTCTGTCCCAGTATTCCTTCTATAAACCACTAGTTATATGTTTCATCCAAATTATGTGAGTTCCTAGTACGACGTTCCTTTCTTTGTTGCTTTTTACTTTATTCCCACTTAGACTTGCTTATCATTTCTTTCCTGCTGACACCAGAACACAACAGTTTCTCTTTTATTTCAGGAATTTCTGGAACTAGTCTTTTCAATTCTGTCAGCTTGATGGCTTCTAATGTTTTCTGCACTAGTGTTCCTGTTCTGGTCAGTGTCCTTGACAAAGATCTAAGTGAAGTAACAGTTATGCAGCATCCACAAATTTTATTTTACTGCCAGACGGGAAGGTTTACTATTTCTCCACCTTTCCCCCCGCCCCACTGTAACCAGCTTAGGATATGGAACTGGACAATTAGTTGTATCCTTTTAGCATACAACTACGTAGACTGCTGGTTAATGGTCATCCCACTGTTATGGGATTGTTTCTGTCACAGGCTTCTGAATCCAAGTACATTTTCTGGATGGTTTGGTCGATCTCTGTTCCACGTGAGTGATGTTCCTTATCGATATTGCACGTGAGGTAATGGAAGCAAACATGAAAACATGTAATGGTCAATGAATTTTGTGGGTATTTGCAGGCAATTGTTGTGTTTGTGATCACCATACATGCGTATGCCTACGAGAAAAGTGAAATGGAAGAACTTTCTGTGGTAGCACTCTCGAGATGTATATGGCTGCAGGCTTTCGTTGTGGCATTGGAGACAAAGTATGCTTCCATTTAAATTAGAATGCAGTAAATATGTTACATTTCTGTTTTCTTTCCCTTATTTATCTTCCCACAAGGTCTTTTTGGCCACTTATGGAGGATTAGAGAAACCGCATGCAATATAATTTTATCCTTGCTTAAGAAACAGTGCAAAATAGTGTTGCCTCCATTAGTGCTGTTAAGTATGGGTGAGTATTCAATCGAGCTGAATCAAGTTAAATAATTTTGAGTTAGTCGAGTTAACGAGTCTTATTTTATAACTTAGACTTTATTTGAAATTTTTTTGAGTCGAGTCAAAAATTTTGGAGTTGACGATTCCTATTTTATAACTTAAACTTTGTTTGAATTTTTTCAAGTCGAATCCGAATCTATGTTTAAATTTAATTGTAAATATTTATAATTTTATGGTACTGTTTGATTCCAATTTAAATGATTTTCTATAACTATATACAATATACATATATATTGCTTCATATTTTTTTCATATAGAATTGAGGGACTCGACTCGAAAACTAATCTACTAATTATTAAAATTTTTGAATTATTGGAGTTATATTTTTTTAACTCCTAATCAAAAAATTTAAAATGGTTTTACCAAACCTTCCCCTACAACTTTTAATAGATTCAAATACCCTGACTTATTGGTGCTTGCAGTTCCTTCACAATATTGCAACTTCTTGCCATATGGGGGAATTTTGTTGCTTTCTATGTAATCAATTGGATTTTCAGCACATTTCCTGCTTCAGGGACATTCACGATTATGTCGACAACCATCTTATTGGATAACTATGCTTGTAAGTTCCACTTTCTGCCTTGTATTTCCTTTTTCTTTCTCCTCCTGTTCAGTTACTTCCTCCCTGAGTTGTTTCTCTTTGTAAACAGCTCATCATTGCAGCCGGAATGGGTCCGGTTATAGCCCTGAAATACTTCCGGTACACATACAGACCGAGTAAAATCAACACACTTCAGCAAGCCGAATGAACGGGAGGGCCGATTCTAAGTTTAGGCAATATTGAGCCGCAACCGAGATTGATTGAGAAAGAAGTTTCTGCCTTGTCAATTACTCCACGAAAGAGCACAAGTCCGGTTTATGAACGTCTTCTTTAGGATTCACCAAACCCTTCGACAAGGTCATTGGGGGTCAGGAACTCTTTTTCGCAGTCCAGGTTGTCTTCCAGCTATTCCAGGAACTGCAAGGACAATTAAGGTATAGAAATATATATGACCTAAATGCATTATTTACATTTTGAAATGTTCCTTTAAAATCTTTATGATTTTCATTTAATTCATTTTAGTTTCTCATTAATAGTTATTAAATCATTTTTTTAATAAAAATTGTAAATAAACTATTAAAATAAGTGAATTTCAAATTCTCAATGAATTTTTTAGTTATCAATTTTAGATAATTTTTTGGGTCTCGGAAATTGGAATGTTACAACTTTTCTTAAAGAAAATTGTCATCCAATTTCCTCAAAGTAGACAAGCTCGAATTTAACGGTTTTAATGTTTTAGAACAATTGTATTTTTACAGTCTGTTACGAAATTTAAGAATGCATGAATTTATATCACATTCTTTCCCATTTTTCCTTTTACCGGTAAAATTCATTTCTCGATAAAAGTAAAACTAACACGGTTGTTTGAAATTTCAGTAAAATCATAGGTTTATACCATGCACTATCGAAATAAATGATCCTTTAAACCCAATAGTAACAAGCTTATGTAGCTTTCTGGTACTCACTCACATAGTGTCCGAGACAGATATCATAGCATGGAATGTCTAAGATTGAACCAATTTTTTTTTTTAGTTTATGAATCTGAACAATTGACTTTTGATGGTATTCATGAGATTCTTTGATTGTTTCTGAAGTGTTAATAGAAGTGTTGTTTTCAAACTTTTACTTTAATGTACGAAATAATTCAAAGGCTTGATTTTCTTTTTAGTTTAATGTACTTTGTTTCAGAGAAGAGTGATAGAATTTCTTTAACTAGAGGTAATAAGAAAACAGGTGCCAATGCCGGAAAGTGAACCCACTCAACTGCTGACTTACAATCACCCTCAACAATCAGCCTAGTGACATAAAACCATCGTGATACCAAAAAGATTTCAATGCCTCTTTTAATAGTCTTTAACTCGGCAACCGGTGGGGAACCTTGACCGATATTCTCTGAAAAAGTCAACAGAGTGCAACTATTCCAATCCCTAAGGATACCTCCAATACCACCAACCGAGTCACTTAACCTTACAGCTCCATCGACGTTCATCTTCAAAAAATCAACAGGGGGGTAACCAGCAAATCACAGAGCAATCCTTTAATTCAGAAACCAAAATTCCATCTACAAGTGAAGGATCCCCAATGAGCAAATCCTCCTGTATAAGAATTTTAGGATACTTGGCTTTAAACCACTTAGATAGCCTAAAGCTTACAATGAAAAACAGAGAAATCCTATCAAGAGATAATCCTTCAAACACAATTTGATTCCTTGCTTTCCAAATAGACCAAAAAATGACTCCCGGAATAAACTTCCAAATCAATGAATACACCCTCAAATTCTCCCACGAGATAAGTAAAGGAGGGTCCTTAGGTAAAACTACATATAAATCCCAAAAACTTATTACCTTATTTCATAATTCCCAAACTACATTACACGTGATAAACAAATGCTGCACTGATTCCTCATTCTTCTTACGAAATGGGCAAAGGATATCTTCTCCCAAGGACATTCCTCTGTTAACCAACTCCACTTTTACTACCAATTTCTGATGGGCTAACTGCCAAAGAAAGGCTTCAACCCTTGGTGGGGACAAACCCAACCACACCCCCTTTGACCACAAAAGATGTAAACGTCGATTTTATAGGGGGGGAATGCTAGAAAGAGCAGAACCACATGAAGAATTCATCCTGCATAGGATATAAAGAAAATCGAAAATCAATGAGTTCATGCATCAGAATTTGAGGTCAACCCCAAAACATTATAGTATCAGTTAAAGCCCCTATGTATTATACCCGTTCAACCAAATGTCAAGGCTCATCAAATTCGTCTTTTTCCTAGAATCCAACTTCAGCTTTAGAAAGAGACATTCTATGTTTAAGCTGGTGGGAAAGAGATCTCACTTCGTATAGCTGCTTAACTGACAGACTGGGCCGACAACAAAGGTACGGTTGCTGCAAACTTGATGTACTGTGTTCATCCACCGAAATAAGCTTGAGATGAACATCCAACTGCATGCAAAGAATAGGCTTTACTTACACAAAAATGAGGACCTGAATACAAAATGGGGAATAAAAGGGAAAAAACAAAAGAAAAAGGGGGCTGTGAGGTGGGAGAGGAATCCTAAGGTATTATTCAAGTGGAACCTGTAAATTAGATAAGAACCACTAGAAAGTTATGTTAATAATGGAGCTTAATATCAGTGATAGACCGGATTAGAAACCATATAATACTAGTATCATCCTATTGTACCTCATCATCATTTTCCTCCAAGCTCCTAAGATATTCTACCAATCTGTTTAAGCGAGCATGTGAACTCTTACTACTGCCACTGGCCATATTTCCATGTCGAATGTGACTCCGAACACCTCCTCTCCCCCAAACAAGCATATCCAGGTTCCAGACAAGCCCAAGAGAAAGTCCTCTTCTGTCTCTAGACACTTCTGTATCATTTTCAACATATCCACCATCTGAATTTACCACTGATGAAGGCAGGGCCATCCGGATTCCAGTCCATCTTTTGCGCCTTCTCTGCCTCACTTCAGTACAGTGGTCGTCTGCGAAAGATGAATCTTTGCCTCCATTATCATCATTTTCATCTTCATTGTCTTCAGATCCTTGATGCTCAACTCCTCGAGAGTTCCTTCGTCTACGAGGATGACTACTCCGATGATGGCGTTGTGATCTATTCATAAAGCCACTTGTTCTGCTCTCTTTACCAAGACTATGCCGCTTAACAAGTGCTTCTGATTGTCTCTGAAAAATTTGAGCAATTGATGCTTGAATCTGTACAAAATATAGAAACCACCATTGGTAAGAACAAAAAAATGTGTCAATGTCTTGTACTTACAACATAGCCTAACGATATTCTTAGGACAGAGAACTGGATAGGGAACAAAAGGGTACCGAGCAATATGTCCCTTCTAGCCAGGTCAACGTTTAGGACAAGTTTTTTTTACCTCACATCTATGACATGAGAAATACAGTTCTTCCATTTTGGTTATTCATTGCACCAAAGTCAACAAGACAAAAGGAATAATGTTATAAATGGCACTGTGACATACATTTTCTTTCACTGTGATAGTTTTACTTTAAAAAGTTCATTACCATTGTACTGCCTTTACTGTCTCAAAGTTTTACTTGAACTTAACATTGTAAATCAGAGATTTTTTTTTTTGATAAAAGAAAGGCCTCATTAGAGACCCCCTTCATGTCCTACATGTTTATATCAGAAACATGAAGGACATAGGAAGGAGGACTAGAGCACCTCTGAATTCATTACTTTGAATCATAACGTACAACCAACTCCTAGTTTTAGACTGCTTGACATAAGATTTAAAAACATAAAGCATACTGCAGCCATAAAACCAGAACGTAAAATCTGACTCTACACTCTGACATAAGAACCTCAACATAATTCCACTCAATTATCCAATACCAGCCTTTGCTAATTCATCCGCTTCCCAATTTGCAGCTCTCGTAATATGTCTTGAAATGATGCCCTGTCCTTGCACAGTATTTGCTACACCTCTAACCAATGTCTGAAATAAAGGGGTACATAGAACAGGATTTTTAATCCACTTCAGAGCTGTGGTTGAATCCGTTTCCAAAATAATCCTCTGACTAGGAAGATATCATGCTTCTTCGATGATAGTCAAACCTCTTTTGATCGCCATCAGCTCTGCAAGAATAGGAGGACCACCTTCAATTTTTTCAGAGAATGAACCAAGAACCAAACCCCTGTCATTCCTAATCAAACCTCCTATACCACCTTTTTCCCATCCCATAGCCATTGCCCCATCAACATTGGGTTTGAGGAAACCTTCTGGAGGAGGTACCCACCTAGAAGGAGGAGAACAAACTTTTTTCTGACTACCATACGAATCTGCCAGATTTAGTGCCCCCACTAGGGAATCAAAAGGAACTAACACATCATTAAATCTCACCCGAAACCAAGAAGCAGTTCTGTACTTAGAAAAAAAACAGCATAGCAGAATCAACCTTTTTTTCTGGAAAACAATCTCGTTTCTACATTTCCAAACCGACCACAGCACCGCCCTTGGGATGAATTTCCAAATATTTGGTCTTGGAACTAAATCATCCCAGGAGATTAAAAAATCAATCATCTTCTTAGGAACCACATAAGAAACGTTCCAATCCCTTAAAAATCTAGACCACAGAAACCATACCACCTCACAATGCAAAAACAGATGAGGAATTGACTACTCGCACTTCCCACACAATGGACATAAAGGATGATCAATCCCAGTGACACCTCTTCAACAGCTCCTTCTTAACAGTTACTCTTTGGTGAGCAACTTGCCAAACAAAAGCTTCTACACGTGGAGGAGCAATCCCTGCCCATACATGCCTATCCCAACTACTCTCTTCTCCTTTATTGCCCTGCTGATCATAAAATTTTGAGATGCATGATTTAGCTGAAAAGCAGCCCTCTCCATTGCCAAGCCAAATCCAACAATCTTCCTCCATTAAAGAAAAATTTGAGCTGTTCAACAAGGAAATAAGTTGCAACCACAACTCCACCTCCCAATCCACCAAATTCCTTCTCATTTGAATATCCCAAACCCAACCGGAATTACCGTGCATCCTGAATTCAGCCACCTTGCCTCTTTTATTATTCGATAAAGCAAAAAGTCTTGGAAACATCTCCTTCAAAGAAACCCCACCCAGCCATATGTCATTCCAAAACTCCACAAATTCCCCATTTCCAGCTCTTAAACACATATTATTCCTTAAACAATCCCCAAAATCATCAGAAGAAAAGAAATTATTAACCACACCTCTTCATATCCAAGAAGCTCTAGCTGAACAATTGTTCCCAATCATCATAGAGTTCGAATCCAACTTATTCACACTACACAAAACTTCCTTCCACCATGATTTCTTCTCCGATGCGAATTTCCAAACCCATTTCCCCAATAAAGCCCTGTTCAAAAGCATCAAATTCGGAATCCCTAAGCCTCCCAATTTCTTTGGTTTACATACCAACTTCCAATTCAACCAGTGAATGTTATTATTGCCTGCCGAGTTTCCCCATAAAAAAGCTGCCATAATCGAATTTAGCTTGTTGAAAACGCATATTGGAATCCGAAAAATAGATAAAAAGTATATGGGGAGAGAGCACAGAACAGATTTCACTAAAACAACCCTTCCAGGCAACGATAATGATTTAGCCTTCCAGCCGGCTAAAGCCTTGTAAAATTTCTGCACAACAGGCTCCCATAGAGCAGACGAGTTCCTCTTGGCACCCAGCGGCAACGCAAGGTACTCCGATAGAAAAGAACCCTTAGAACATCCAATTTCGTTTGCCCAAGCTTCTAAAACCTCCTCCTCCACATTAACTCCAAAAATTCTGCTCTTTGTTAAGTTTAATTTCAACCCCACCAATAATTCAAAAATCAGCAAAACCCTTCTAACATTCAACAAATCACGAATTGTTGCCTTGCTGAAAATAATCAGATCATCCGCGAATTGTAAATGAGTTAACTTAAATGATTGATCATGAGAACCAAGCTCAAAACCCAAAAACAGCCCCCTATCCACTGCTTTTGTCAACAGCAAGTGTAACAACTCCCCTCCCAAATTAAACAACAACGGAGATAATGAACAGCCCTGCCTTAAACCTCTCAAGGGTTTAATTTTCTCCGTTGGATTCCCGTTTACTAGAACCGAAATGGAGGCCGTTGACACACATTTATAAACCCAAGAGCACCATCTAGATCCAAACCCCATTTTGCTCATTAGTTTAATCAAAATCTCCCAATCCACCGAATCATAAGCTCTCTTAAAATCCACCTTAAAGACAACTCCCTACAATCCTTTCTTCCTCCAAAAGTCAATGCCTTCATTTGCAATAAAAAAGCAATCCATAATTTGCCTCCCCGGGATAAAGGCAAATTGTGACGGACTTATAACATCATTTATGCATTGGCTCAACCTTTTTGCTAAAACCTTTGATAGAATCTTGTAAAATCCCCCCACAAGACTAATAGGTCTAAAATCCTCTAATCCCTCCGGATTCACCTTTTTTGGAATAAGAGAAATGAAAGAATGATTAATCTCCTCATCCCATTCCTTTCCCTCGAAAAAATCCTTAAAAAACAGCAGCATTAATTGTTTCAAATTAGGCCAGAATTTCTTGAAAAACCCTAAATTTAGCCCGTCAGGACCAGGCGCTTTGTTGCTGTCCCAATTGGCAATTACATCCCATATTTCCTCTTCAGAAAATGGTTTTTCAAGAGCCATACTTTGCTCACTTGAAAGTTTTAGAAATTCCAAATCCAACTCTTCGACCTCTAGTGTATTTTTCTGCATGAACAATTCCTTATAGTAGTCCACCACTGCTGCTTTTATATTTCTAGGATCTGAGATGACTTCATACCCCACTTTTAAAGACTTTATGCAATTCCTCCTGCCTCTACCTCCAGCACATTGGTGAAAAAACCTTGTATTCTTGTACCCTTCCAAACTCCACTTCACTCTCGATTTTTGAAACCAGATGGACTCTTCAATTTTATAAAGGTCCCACAATTCTTTTTTAGCCTCTACTAGTTGCTTCAAAGACACCACAGAAAAACCTTGCTGCAAATCAATCTCTAATCTCTGAATTTCTTTTTCCAAAGTACTAATTCTTCCTGGAATTTGTAAATACCCCTTGCTAGTCCAATTCTTCACAGCTTTCTCCACCCCTTTAAGCACACTGGAAATTGGAAATTTCCTGTCTAAATTACACAACTTTAGTAATTCAACCTCCATCATTTGACCAAAACCTTCTTCTTCCATGACATAGTTGAACAACTTGAAAGGTTTAGGACCCCAATTCCGACCCCTATTTTCCAGCAAAATCAAATTATGATCTGAAATAGACCTTGGATGAAGGGATTGTGTTAACAAAGGAAAGGAAGACAAAAATCCTTGATCCAAAAGAAATCGATCCAATCTCACATAGGTTGGAATATCTCTGTTATTGCACCATGTAAATCTTCCTCCGGACAAAGGAAGATCAACCAAATTAGCACTGCTCACAAAGTGTCTAAAGACATTCATTGAAGCCAAATTAACTTCACCACCAACCTTCTCCTCCCTTAACAGAATAGCGTTAAAATCCCCTCCAAGACACACTGGGCAGTCTACGTTATCCAGAAAAGAACGCAACTCCCCAAAGAACATCTCTTTCTCAGACTCCAAACTCGGCCCATACACATTTATAAACCAACAAGACCCAGGAAGCCCTTCAATAATTCCTCTAACTGCCAAGAATCTGCTGTGAATAACCTCTTCCTTAACAACACAGTCTTGTTCATTCCACATGGTAATTAATCCTCCAGCTGAACCTTCAGCTGAAGATACTGCCGAACCAGTCAGAAAATTTCCTCCCATTTTTCTCAATAATGAAGGACTTACTACCTCCAATTTTGATTCTTGGATAAATAAAATTGCAGGCTTATTCTCTTCCACACACCTCCTAACCGCTCTAGCTTTAACCCTCTTCCCTAGACCTCTAATATTCCAAGACAAAATTTTCCAATTTGACATCTATATCTTATTGGATAACCTACCATCCCAACACCCCTTAATTACACCCATTTCTTTCCTTCTCTTTTACTAGTGAAACTGATCTATCCATAAAAATTTGTTTACCCCCTCTAAATTCGACCCCCAACATTTTACTAACATTCCAGCACTCAAGAGCCTCCTCTACTCCAACAGACTCCCTTGAATGATTATAATCTGATCTGATATCTACGCAACTCTTTACTCCCCCCCTCCTAGACCTCGCATAAACACGTTTACATGAGCCTCTTCTTACTTTGCTTCCAGCCCCTCTCTTTCCATTAATTTTTTCTGAGTACCCAAACCCAGCCCACACTGAACAGAAGCCCGAGACTGCTCCTCAATATTATCTTCTGTGGGAATATGGCCCCCACCGTCTATACTACCACTCTGTTGATCCACTCCGGCCAACTCATAAGTTGCCCTACCATTTTAAAGCCCACTATCCCAGACCACTAAATCATTACCAACTGAAACAACCCCCATGTGCTTCCCATCTTCTCTCTCTTCAAAAGAACTTTTTAAATTGTCCTGCTGTTTGGAAGCAGCTCCTGCAGCTTTGGCACGCTTACACAACTCAACCGAAGCAGATTTATTTGACTTTAAGCAAAAATTCAAACCTCCCTCGATATCAGAATTTTTTTCAACCGAAGCAGAAATATTTGAATTTAAGAATAAATTCAAACCTCCCTCGGTTTCTGTATTTTTGTCTTGTTGTGAACCTTGAACCCATTCCTCAACCCTATTATGGGAATCTGACACCTCCAAAGAACCCATGTGCTTTTCCTGTTGCACCTGAGCATCCCCTCTACTCCAGTCCGAGGAACTCCCCTCCCATGGAACCTCTGAAACATCATCTTCAACCTTTTCTGATAACACAGGAAAAAATTCTTCAACACATTCGACCTTAATTTTAATCAAGAATTTCCTCTCATACGTATTAACGAAAAATTGTTCAGGAATATCAAACGGTCTGGTCACCCTGAGAAGCATCTGCGCCACTCTGCAGTCCACTCTATGGACAATTTCATCTTGAATCTTTACCAACTTGCCCCATTTGGATGCCAAACTAGTAAAGAATGGAACCGACCAGCAATTTAATGGAACTCCTACCATTGAAATCATACAATAAGGTAAGGGAATGCCTCCCTCATCCAAAACAGGTTCCAAACTTTCAAACCAAAAGGACAAAGCTTCCCATTTTTCTTCCATCGCCACCCTTCTCTCCTCCATCGTTTGGAAAACAACCAAACAGGCATTCTTTGCAAAACCCCACTTTACCACCTTTGAATTGATGCCATCATTCCTTAGAGCTTTCTGAAAAAACTCCACTTTTTTTTTTTTTATAAGATTTGAAGGTCTCTTTAAAAGCCTCCTTCTTGATTAATGGAGCTTGTAAAGAAGCTTCTTAATCATCGGAAGGAGGAAAAGAGTACCTTATAATTTCATTGAAGAAAATAAGAATTACAACCTTGGAAAGAAAAATCCAAGTAGAACCCTTACAACAATTCTTGAGCCTTAAAACCGAACTATAGAAGTCAACAACATAATAATCAACCTATACCAGCCTTTGCTAGAGCATCGGCATCCATATTAGCTGTCCTTGCAATCCATCTAACAACCCCCCCGACAGTTTTAAGACACTCAACAATATCTCTAACAATGAAACCATAAACATCTGGACATGAGACAACCTTATTGATCCAGTCTACTGCAACTCTGCTATCACTCTCTATGATCAACCTATCTTTAACCCTCCCTAGGACAGAGGTAAAGAAAGAGATACCCCTTTGGATAGCTTTAAGTTCCTTCAATGTTGGAGGTCCAGAACCATCCGGTTCCTGAAAAGAACCAAGGATTGCACCAGAATGATCCCTCATAAGACCACCCAGACCTGATTTTTCCCAATCACAACTAATTGCAGCATCCACATTCAACTTGATGAAACCCGTAGGGGGAGGTAACCAAGGGATTATGGAAGACTTCAAGAAATTGTAGGACGAGTAAGAATCCCCTATAGAAGGATCAGAAATTAAGGAGTCCTTAGGAATAGAAACATCCTTATTCTTTGCTAAATACCAAGAGGCCAGCCTAACTCTTGTTAAGAAGAATAATTCAGTCTGATCGAGCTTCCCCCTTCAAAAACTATGTAATTCCTGAATTTCCAGATTGTCCAAATAACAGCCCCAGGAATGAAAGTCCAAATTACCGAATTAGATTTCAACTCATCCCAAGCAAGAAGAAAATTTTTTGCTTCTGCAGAAAACACAGAACTAAATCTCCAAAAATTTAGAAATTTATTCCACAAAGACCACGCAACCGAACAGGAGAAGAATAGATGCGAAGAAGATTCTTCAACCATTTTACAAAGAGGGCATAAGCCATCCTCAATACCTTGAACTCCTCTTTTAACCAATTCGGATTTAACTGCAATTTTTTGAAGCACAATTTGCCAAACTAATGTTTCAACTCTAGGGGGAACCAATCCTCTCCAAACAATCTTGTTCCAGAAATGAGACTCTTCTGAAATTGAAGCACAACTCTTAACACAAGAACCGACTGTATAAACCCCATCCCCACTGCCTTTCCAGATCAATCCATCGCTAGAATCAATAGATAGAGAGAAGGAAGAAATGATGCTCACCAAATTGCACCATTGTTCAAGCTCCCAATCGTTTAAATTTCTTCGAACTTTAACATCCCAAATCCAGCCCGAAGAAAGAAATTCCCCAGACTCACAAAGTTTACCGAATTTATTAGTTGACAGTGAAAACAGTCTAGGAAATAGAATCTGAAACGGAAAATCAGCAGCCCAGCTATCTTGCCAAAATCGAACATGCTTACCATTTCCGACATAAAACTTGCACAAACTACGGAACTTACAACCAAATGAGTCTTGTTTGAAATGGTTATTAACCACTGATCTCCACAACCAGGAGGATTGAGAAGGAATCTTGCTGTCAAACAATAATCTAGAAGAGTCAATGTTGTATTTGCTACAAATAAAATTCCTCCAAACAGAATTTCTCTCATTTGCAAACCTCCAAGACCATTTCCCTAGCAATGCTCTGTTCATAGAAATCAGATTCCGAACTCCCAAGCCTCCCTCAGTCTTTGATTTGCAGACATCATCCCATTTAACCCAGTGTATCTTCTTAATACCATTGCCCCCTCCCCATAAAAAATTAGACATAATAGAATTGAGAGTCTTGAGGATAGAAGCTGGAATCTTGAACATAGACAAAAAATACGTAGGTAGTGAGGACATAACGGATTTAACAATACCAGTAAGAGATGAATTCAACCAGGCCTTTTCCTCCACCGGAATAAAGACATCCAAAGAATTTCCCAGCTCCTCCTTATTTCTCTGTCTACCCTTTTGAACATCCACAGAAATTTTGCTCACCCCAATCACTGTATCTTTATAGGTCCTTCCATCACAGAACCTATTCAACAACTTGGTCTTCCTTGCCCCATCAGAAGAGTAAGGCAATCTTCCAACCTTAACCCCTCCTAAGTCATCACTATTTGAGCCCTCAACTCTCCCTTCTTTCTGCCTCCTCGCCCCAGAAAGTTTCTCATATTTCGCTACTGTCACAGAAATCCTCCTTCCATTAATCAAGACGTTGTTCATCTTTTCCACCGCATAACACATATCCTCCTTGCTTGCGAAGCGAACAAAAGCAAACGTACTGACCTTATATTTCGGTCTATTGTTGATAAATGGAATGAACACCCTACTGACTTTTCCATAATGACTAAAACGAACCCATAAATCACTACGACGCACTCTCCTGCTTAGATTATCAACAAACGCAGACCAAGAATCTCCTCCATTGCATTTCGAGAACTCTCTCTCTCTCTCTCTGACACTCTCCATATTCAAGTCGCATGTTCTATTACCAAGTCACCAATTCACCATGCCATATCATATTAAAATACACAGAGGGCATTAATTTAAATATCTATAAACATGCATACAAAAAATATAAAATGTCATCATATTACTTTATTACAGCCACAACGTTTAACGGTATCAAGTTCCAAAACTAGACTGACACATGAAACAGTAAATATATATACCACAATATAGGTAGTCACGGGAGCCATTCATGATATTATCCCAAAGACAAATTACAGAAATGGCACTTCAATATGCACCTAATACAATTGAATGAATGCAGCTGATACATGTAACCATGAAAAGTGTCAGGCTGCATGTTTTTAGCTAGGCAAATGAACATAAATCACCACAATTCACAAATATCTGCCAATCTAGAAAATAAGATGTTGACCTTAACAATGAGCAAGTAGAGCAGAGAAATAAACGCATGCAGTAACAAAAAATAGTTATATATATATATGACCTGCTTAATGTGAGTCCGTTCCTCTTCATGAAAAGCCAATTCCTGAGGCCAAATGCAGAAAACCAGCTTTGATTAGGCAGATTATGATGTAAGAAATTTTATAATACCACCATGAATTAAAAAAAAAATGAGAAAGGAAAGAACTTATACCTCTTTTTCATACTTATCAATATCTGGATATAGAGCTGCAATTAAGGCATCATATTTTGGATCATCTCTTAAAGAACGTCGACTAGCACAATGCGTACGACAAGCAGGACACTCATTGTTCCTACAATCAGAATTAAGAATTTCCAGACATTTACAAAATTAACCCAGAGGCAAGTTTGTAGTAAATCCACTTATAACATACCCCAGTCGCATTGATTTGTCAATGCATTCTCTGCAAAAACGGTGTAGGCATTCCATTACAGTTCTTGTTTTCTTTATGATTCCTGTACACAAAAAATATTAAATGCGAACAATATCTGACAAAATGCAATGCACTATAAAAAAGAACTCAAGCAATAAACCAGCAGCATTAATGCTGACCGCAGACCAGCAATGCAAGAAAGATTAAAAGACTAACAAGCATGGCATTACCCTGATGCAATCAAACATAGCAAATGCTTTTTACACAGTACGTGTCCCCATGAAAAAGTAAAAGCAGCATATTCCATTGAATGTGTGAATACAAATACTATACTATTACTCTTTCATGGTTTTTCCTTCGGAGAAAATGATAATACATTTTTATAATTTTAACTAAATTCTGTGTTATGGACATATTACATCTAAATATGTCCATCCCAGCTAGAATTTACATGTCGTGCAGAGCCCCCTAATTGATAAGTGTTCTACAAACACATGCTCAAATGATCTTAACTTATCTGCCTTTTTTAAAAGATACCTTCCTCCCAATTCATTAAAAACAGTAGTAAAATTCAGATTTACATAACATCAAAACCCCTTTCTACTAATCAAATGAGAATGGTCTGAATATTCAGCTATTGCAAGATCAACCAATCTTTGATTATCCTTTTCCTCTCTTCTCAACTTTAGATCTTTCAAGGGGCATCCAGATATACAAACTCCCCTTGGTTTTCTATAATATTTATGGGTCCTAGTGCACTCATAAGTTTTTATTGAACTTATGAATTTATACTAAATCTTCTAACACCATTAAGCACCAGGTGAAAATAACTTTCCAACTCAAGCAATTGTCAGGACAAACTAAAATGAACGTTGCACCAAATGGAGTATCCAGGAAAGATATTCTAAGAAACGGGAATGGTATCATCTACCAAATCAAACTAAATGAATCATGCTTAGAAAGTCGGCTATTTAAAATTAAACTTTATACTCAATTATAAAACATACATATTAACAGCTCTTTTGTGCTGACAATTCGTTTTCTATCAGACAAACCTCATCATAACTTCATCACAAACTAGAAAGAGGGAGACAATATTTGATTTAAACAAAAACCAACTAAAGAAGATATCACCTTCGGACAATAAGGCTAAAACTGCAATTGGGAATTTCCTACATAATCTTAAAACATTTAAGGAAGAAACCATTATATTCTACTTAAATGCCAGGTAAAAAAATAAGTCATACTTTATCAATTAACAGCACAATATGTGCACTAAACAGTAAAAACATGACACTTGATTTTCTTCTTGTAATGATTTATGTTTCCAAAGAAAATAATCAACAATATATGCTAATAATAAAGATATACGCAAATGGGACTCAAACTTGAAAAAAAAGGTGATGGTTTTGACCTCCTCAGAGTATGTAAACAAACAGGAGTTGTGCTTAAAAATATATTACAACCACTGATTCACACGTCTAAACTCCTAATCACAGACGTTCAACAGAAATTGTTGGAGCAAAGTATAAAATAGTAGCAAATTGAAATATTACCTAAACAAATTGGACATTGAACATCTTTACGAATTTCTGGAAGCTCTACAAAGACAAATCTGGAATTTGAACATAAAAATGTCCTTTATAGATTAAAGCTACATTATAAACCATATGCATGATGATCCCAGCAAGCATATTGTAGAAAGATAGATCTGTTGCCGTCATCAATGTAAATATTTGACTTAGGATGAGATGATTTTGAAGAGACTACTAACTTTAAAGGGTAATCTAAATCTTTTCAAGCAATCATATGGCTAAATATGCCATGACAGGCAAGGAAATCACAACAGAAGGTGTCAACTAATACTTTGCTATCATATACCAAGAACGACTATGAGGAAAAAAGAATTAAGTTGTTATTTTTAGCAAATCTAATAATATATACGTGCGTGTGTGCGTGCGCGGAGTAAGAGAAATAGAACGAAGCCCAAGCCAACTCAACATGAGAATCCTCACGTCCTATATTAAAAGAACGACCCAAATTTTATGGTTTATTAATGAGACTACATTGTCTTCCACAATAATAGACGCCGTGATTGTTAGTTCCCATTTCCCAACCATTATTTCCTCCCAATACTAGAATAGTCAATGAAAAGCTGCACTTTTTAAACCTCATCAGACTGTCTCGGCTCTTACTTTCATTCTTGTTCACAGACCCGTCAGCTCCAAATTGTATTTTCCAAAGATCAAACTCTTTGAAGAAAGAAAAGTTCAAAAGCCTAGGCAGAGGCACCTCCCTAGTCTCAATACATAGACTCTTTGATTGAAAGCTTAACAAAGCTAGCCTAGTGGTACTGACTCGTTAAAGTTTTATTAGAATGTCTAGAGTTGAACCCAGATGCATAATGGGATTCATAAAAACGTAAGGTGGGGATGAAAAAGAACCCAGAATCAAACTAAAATGCATTTATATAATATAAATCATGCACATTTTGAACAGTGAAAGAATACAGTAGGACGTGTTTTCAAGCTAGTATTTTACAAGTTGGTAACGAGTATGCAAGGTGTTGTCCTTAACAAACAAGGACTCGGGACAGATAAAGAACACAATATGAACAAATTTCACAATTTTCCAGCCTTAAGTGGTTACGAGCATACACAGGACACAGATCGTTGACATGCAAAATGCATATCGATTAACCGATGAGTTTAACATATCACAAAACGCAATGTCTTATAACGAATAGCACAAAACCCAACAAATAAAACTCAATTTCCTTTCTCTCCAGCAGCTAAACATCCAGAAGAAAGAAGAATGCTCGTCTTAAAGAAGTAAAATCGCAGCAAACACGACTCATAAAAGCAGAGCGGAAGCTAAATTATGAAGCTAAAATTGATTTTTCAGAATCACTAACGAAAATAACATAAATGATTGACAGATAAGGAGAGGGAAAGCAATACTCGGGTTTCTCTTGAGAAGTAGAAGATTGACTCCCATCAGAATCTGAGAACAACAGAAAAAAAAAAGAGCCCAAGAATCGAAATCAACTTCAAACATGTGTTTACACCTATGAATCGAGCTACATACGAGAGACACGAGTGTTAAAAAGAGAAAAGAACGTCACCATCTTCGTCTTCTTCTTCACCATCGTCGTCTTCTTCATCTTCGTCGTCGGCTTGGAGTTGTTGAGCTTGGTTGTTCTGGTCATCGGGGTCTTGTTTCTGGTTTTGTTGCTCTTGCTCCGGATCGGTCTGTTGTTCTTCCACTTGGGTCGTGTCGCCTTCAGCTTCGTGTTGGCCATCTTCGTTCCGAGATTGCTTGGTGTGGCTTTGGTGATGGAGGCTGGACTCTTCATCGTCGAGGTTCTCCGGCAATGACCGCTTCTGGGCTGGCATTGATGCGTTTTGGTTCGTCGATTGTGAGACTCCTTTATTATTTTTCTGTTATAACAGAGACAGAGACACCCAGCCGAAGAGGGAGGACGATGGCCCAGAGATTGCTCACTTCTTTTTCCTTTTTTCCTGAATGGGGAGAGGTTTATTTCTTTTCCTTCTTTGAATAAACTACGCTAAAGGTCCTTAAACTATGCTCAAATACTATTTTTAATCACTCAAAATTTATAAATTAATTATTAAATCTATTAAATTATTATAAAACATTATAGTAATGTTATAAGATAACTATTAAATTTATTAAATTATTATAAATTTATCATTAAGTTTTATTAAATTATTAAAAATAGTCATTATTTTTTAAAATTATTGTAAAATAATCATTAAATTCATCAAATTTTGTGATCGAGCAAATAATATGATGATTATTTTATAATAATTTGATAGTTTTAATGATTTTTTGTAATTCTTTAAAATATAGTGATAAAAAATTATTTAAGCATATTTTAGAGACCTCTAATGTACTTTACCCATTTTCTTTTTACTCTACTTTTTCTATTTTTGTTCTCTATAATAATGTTTATATTTTAATAAATGGATGAATTAATTAATTAAGAAGGGATCAGATTCATCATCTGTTAAATGAGCACATGTTGGTTCGGTGGGCGGCTTCCTGTGTCTCCATCTTTCTCACTTCTCAAATGGCCATTTTCGTCATTTTGGTTTTATTTTTCACTTTTTATTTTAATAATTATGGAAATTATTCAAACTTAGGGTTAAGTAGTATTTAATCAATATTATATGTATTAAATCTGAAGCTAATTGAGTCTTATTTCGAGTTATCTTATTATTGGGTAAGTTGTAACGTTTATGAATTTGCAGGTTTATTATAGAATTATGTATAATGATAAACACAATAAATTCTTGATTATAGAATTTAAATTTAAACTTTAAATGCAATATTATTAAAAGATGTAGCTATAAATTATGAACATGTTAGTAAAACATTATATGAAGAAATAAATTGATATATTTGTAATTAATTAAGTTAATTCATCAAATACATAATAAATATATGGGTAAATTACAAATTTGGTAACTAAACTTTACTCTCTCTCCTATTTCACTCATTGTACTTTAGATTTTTAGTTTCCTCACTAAACTTGTTATGTTGGGTTTTTTTGGTCACTCAATTGTTTTCTCACATAAGGCATTATAAATGGGTTTTATATATATACAAAACGACGTCGTTTTAACATTGTTAACTATTTAACGGCAGGGTAACAAAAAAAACTAATGTATTAAGTTTAGTGAAGAAATTAAAAAAATTTAAAGTTCAGTGATCAAAATATATTTTGAAGAGGTGCAATTGGAGTTGAAGAATTATTACTCTTACATTTTATTTTAAGAAGTCGATCGTTTTCTCTTGTTAAGGTCAAGTTAGTTAAATTATACAATTGTGAAGGCCCAGTGAGTATAACGTGTAAAGACATCAGCTCATCATGAGATGTCTAGATATTATTATTGGGTCATTCATTATTATCATTTTTACTAAGATTAATAGAATAATCACGCGTTAGTAAAGGATGATTAACAATAGCTTACCACATAATTGAAAACTAATTAGGATTTTCATATTCAGATTTATGAGTTTTATGTATATTTTAATCATTTCAATTCGTAGAGCTTGTAGAATCATTACATAAGAATTCATGTGTAATTGAAGTTGTTTTTGAATTTCTAGTAATATAGATTATCTTTACTCCCTGTAACATACTGATATTCTACCGGGAGTAATAATATTCATAGTGAATATCAATGCCAAAATGATATATTGAAATTTTCAAATTAACTCATTTCATACCAGAGTAAATGCAATATTAATGACATGAATAAATATTGATACTCTAAATCCTTTTATTTACACTAATATAAATATAGTATTGATATTGAAAAGGTACTTGGATGGGAAATTATGATAATACTCTGATAGGGTAAAATTACGAAAATACCTTTAAGTTTTAAGATGTCAAGAATTGTCCCTGTATGGATGAGTACTGACTGATACTCTTCCTAAAACATTTTTATTTATATTTGAGTAAATATAATATCGATATCGTATGAATGAGTATCAATACTCATTTCTTTTAAAAAAAACACTCATAAATGGGCATAAAAATAACTTAAACTTACTCCAAACATACATATGTAAGGCTTAAAGTAAAAAAAAAAAACTTAAATTATGCTATTATTTTCTTTAAGTCCTTAAACTATTATATATGGGTCAATTTGATATAAATTTTGAAAAGTGCTTTAAAAAATAATTTTATAATTGTTTTCGAGAAATAAGTTTAGAATTCAACTGTTTGAGATTGTCTCTAAAAAATAATTTTAAAAATATAAAATGTCCATTTTAAACATTATGTTGTAAATTGAAAATATAGTATTTGACGATAAAAATATATTTTCACGCAAAAATGTTTTTTCCATAACAAAAGCTAGAAATTTGAGATTTTGATGTTAGATTAAAATCAATTTTTTAATCATAATTTTAAATCAATTTTTTAGTGTTTATCAATGCTTATGAGTGAAAATCACTTTTCTGTTGCAAGAAGCATTTTCAAATTGGCCTAAATCACTCTAAGTTCTGTCAAGTTTTTCAGTTATAAAAAAATTATTTTGACCAATGAGACGTTGATATGTCATACAAAATTAGGTACATATTTTGATCCAAACATATTTTAGGTAATTAAAACAAAAATAACATAGTTTAAATACTTATTTTGACAAAAAAAAATAGTTTATGTAAACATATAATAGTTTAAAAAGCTTATTATGACTCTAAGTAATTTAGAGATTTTAAAAAAGACACAATTTAAAAAAAAATAGTTTAAGCCCATATTAATTCCCTGTATAATCTCATATTTTCATTTTTGTGCATTTAAGTACATAAACCATTATTACAACACACGGAACATCAATTTTAATTTGATTGCTTAAAACATTCGGCATACATGTTTCCAACATGCAAGACAATTTATAAAATGAGAAATTCATGAAGTTTTTTGAAATTTAATGTGTACTATTTAAATGTTTAGTAACTACTAAATTTTGTTTTCGACATTTAAATTTTTCGACTTTCTTCTTATTTTTTGAATGAGATATGAGTGAATAGTATACTCATAGTCTCATTTTTGTGCAGTACAGACCACTGTTCAATGCCTCAGTGCCAATGGTGGCACAAGCACAATTCAAAGCTCGACGCGAGGTTAAATCCGTCATTACATTGAAGAAGCAAAACCCTAATCCTATATTCCGACATATAAATCGGCTCGCCTCTTTCATTTCTCCTTGCATTAAGGAAGAAGTGGTCAAATAGCTTCCTCGTCGACCTCTCAGGTTACTTTCTCACTTGGATCTTTCTTCTCTGTTGTTTGGTTGCTTAGGAATTGAGTGAAGAGGTCACTCAAAATTAGTTTGCTGTTTTAATTTGTTAATTTGGTTTGCAATCGAGTTCAATTTAGTTCTGTTTTGTTGTTCTTTTCATCGTTTCATCAGTAGCTGCCAAAAGAACTGAATTTTACCGTGTATTGATAATTATGTATGCCTGTGCTTTAGTTTGAAGAAAAGATGATTAGATTGTTAGTTTAATACTTGTTCAATGCAGATCTGTTACGTATTCTACCAAGTTCATATTTGGTAAATGGAAATGTGTGGGGATGATTTTGAATATGTGGAAAATCTTAAATTCTACTTTCAAAATTAGCATGATCCAGAGTTGAACTGTTGATGTAATTCTGGGTTTCCCCTTCTTTTCATCCCATTAGTCTCAAAATTGTTGTCAATGTTTTTTTTTTCTTTTCTACCCCCTAATTCTGTTTAATTACAGGTCACTATCTTGAGTTGTAAGCATGGCAGATGGATCTAAGCGTCCATCAGTGTTTCAAAAAGTGCATGGCCAGTCCTATTTAATTTCCAGGCTTTCTCCTAACTTGCCTGCCAGTAATTATAACGTGACCGGTGCGTATGTCAATGGAGGAATTCATGTTGCTTTACAGCAATCACGTCAATCCACCGGGTTGGCATATTTGTCCCCTGTTTCTCCCATATTTGTACAAGCTCCGGCCGAGAAAGGTTTTTCCGGTTTTATGGTGGATTTCCTCATGGGAGGAGTTTCTGCAGCTGTTTCCAAGACAGCAGCTGCTCCAATCGAACGGGTTAAACTTCTAATCCAAAACCAGGATGAAATGATCAAATCCGGGCGGTTGTCTGAACCATATAAGGGAATTGCTGACTGCTTTGCCAGGACTATGAAAGATGAAGGTGTCCTTGCTCTCTGGAGAGGCAACACTGCTAATGTTCTTAGATACTTCCCCACCCAGGTTGCTTTTCACATCCTTTATTTTTAAGTGCATTCTATTACTTTTCAGCCATCCTTTTTTAAAATGGATTTGCATTTTTGATTTGTTTACTAACCAAATTTGTCTGTTAATATCCCTTGGCTATCCGATTATATGTTTGGTGTAGTATTTACTACTTCAGTTTGGTCAAAGGACAAAGTTATCTTTCGTTTTGTTCTCTTTTCCTCATTTTATGTTTTTTGGCTTAAAGCATTAACCCAGTTATATGTGTCAGGCTCTGAACTTTGCCTTCAAGGATTATTTCAAGAGGATGTTCAACTTCAAGAAGGACAAAGATGGCTACTGGAAATGGTTTGCCGGGAACTTGGCATCTGGTGGTGCTGCTGGTGCTTCATCCCTTCTTTTTGTTTACTCCCTGGATTATGCTCGTACACGTTTGGCTAATGATAATAAGGCTGCTAAAAAGGGTGGTCAGAGGCAGTTTAATGGTTTAGTTGACGTCTACAAGAAGACCATCCAATCTGATGGTATTGCTGGTCTTTACCGGGGATTCAATATCTCATGTGTTGGTATTATTGTCTATCGTGGGCTCTACTTTGGTATGTACGATTCTCTGAAGCCCGTTGTTTTGGTTGGTGGATTGCAGGTATGTATCTGTTTCCTGACCCTCACAACCATTTGCTTAAACAGTAACACAACCTGGAGTTTAACAGCTGAAACATACTTGATTCTGTGTGCTTTTGATATTTACAGGATAGTTTCTTGGCAAGTTTCTTACTGGGTTGGGGTATCACGATAGGTGCGGGACTGGCGTCTTATCCAATTGATACGGTCCGTAGAAGAATGATGATGACCTCGGGAGAAGCAGTCAAATACAAGAGCTCGTTGGATGCGTTCTCCCAAATCATCAAGAATGAAGGTACAAAATCACTGTTCAAGGGTGCTGGTGCAAATATTCTCCGTGCAGTCGCAGGTGCTGGTGTGCTTGCTGGCTATGACAAGCTGCAAGTCATCTTCCTTGGCAAGAAATATGGATCTGGCGGTGGAGGTTAATATTATCATCATATAGCGGTGGAAGGTGATATACCGGTGCTGCCTTAATGAAAGATTTAGGTTCCCAAATTCGAATAATTTTGGAAGGGCATACTGCCATTGATAGTTCCAGTAAATTAGGGATTGAATATGAAAAAGTTGGTGACGAAAAAAATTACTTTAGCTTTGAGTGTTAAATTTGTTTAGTTCCAAGACCATGTGTTTTGTTGGTTCTACTTTCTTGGTTTTTGGTTGAGAATAATTAAAGAGTGTTTTCTCTCAAATACCAAGTGTTCTTTCTCGTTCAACTTTCTCGTCCCTGCCACTGGACCAGACAACACCAAGAAATCTAAGCACGGTCTACGTCTTCCAAGCATGGTCGTCGGTAACGGTAATTGTTAAATGGGCGAAAGAATCGCTGGTTTAAATCTTTTAAGCTAGATTTGTGGAATACGAAAACAAATTCGATGAAACAGACACCAAGTCGTGTTTAAAAGATAAAAAAAAGACTTGAACTGAAAATTGTGGCATAGTTTAACAACATATGTGAGCTGATATGAACTATACTGATAATAATAATAACGAAGAGACTTTCCATATGCTTTTTACCCCATAAAGGAGGCTTGCTATCATTAGCATGACTTTGCACTTTAATGTTATATAAAAAAAAAATTAGTTGGCAAATCCTGATAATATCGTAAATAATTATAAATACAAGATTCAAACTCTATTTTATAAATACAGTGCAACATGTTGAAAAGGTGAACAAGAAACGGTTAATATACTTGAGAATCCTATTTTGGGGTCAAAAAAATAAAAGCATAAGAGTTTAGGGTTAAGAGTTCAAAAATTTATTAAGGGTTAATTTGAATTATTGACAACTCAAAGGGTCCAAAAGTGTTACTATGCCATTTGAAAGAAAGTCAATGCCCCAGCATATGCACCTCCTTATTATATATTTTTAGGTAGATTTTGACACATTTAATCATTTATATATTGTTTATATTTATATCATTAAAAGTAAACTTGTAAATGAATGAATATTTAATGCACCGTGATATATAATAAATGATGGCAATCAGGGCGAGACATGTTTATGACTACTATGAATCTAACTTTAATATTAGGAAAATTTTACTAACGCTCGACGAAAAGCTATAAGCATCACTAATGACGAGCATCATTAATTTAATTTATAAAAATTTAAATTTTAAAAGAATTAATGTATAATTATAAATTAGTAAAAAATTTATATTTAAAACAAAAGGTAAACTATACTAGTGACCACCTAACTATTATTTCGTCTCATTTTGATCAATATTTTTGAAATTTTGTCAATCAATTCACTCAACTATTTAAATGCATTCAATTAAGTCACTTGTCGTTAATATTTAACGGAGAAGATGATGTGTCAATTAAAATATTTGGTATAATTACACATTTAATCACTGTTATTTATATATTCTATCAATTTAGTCTTAATTTTAATAAATTAAAATAAACTTAACCCTCAAATCTTCTTCAGGACTCCATTCCCCTTTCTTTAATCCTTTTTTATCATAAAAGGGAGCTCTCACCATCTTCAAGTTCAAGTAGTTCTCAAGGACAGTTGTCTAGATCTGATGTGGTACAGATTAAACACAACGCAGATAGCTCTTCTTTATATACCCATAGCCTGATGGAATGTTGATGCTCTGGCACAAAGGCCAACATTGCTAAACTGCAATATGAAATGGAAAGGAGAAAGGAAATAGACAATGGAAAAACAAACAGAGTATTAAGTTTTTTTCACTAACTGTAGAAAATGGCTTACAATGATATTCAACACATTACAATGATTGGGTATTTATAACCTAATATTAACACCCTAACAAATCTAACAAATTCTTAATAAATTGCTAACTAACATCAACTACTTAATAGTCTAACATTCCCCCAACTTCTTCGACCTTCTTGACGTAAAGATGAACACTTGAATCGAAAGTGTGATGCCTCCTTCCGTTCGACTTGAATCGAAAGTGCCGATGCTTCCTTCCGTTCGACTTGAATCGAAAGTGCAGATGCTTCCTTTCGTTCTTCTTATTCACCTTCATTTCTTTCTTCTTCATCCTCTTATACAAGGTTCCTTGACATTTATTTTTTCATGGACACTTGGTTGTGAAGTTTTCAAGTCCCATGACACTTTGAGATAGAAGCAACAAATCATGACGATGCACAATCCAAAATAACCAGCAATGCAACAGCGTGCAACACATCCACAAGAAACTAGTACAACAAAATTTGTTTCCAAAGGCAGGAAGAAATTGAACTCCCGGCAAACTCTAACTGTAAACAAACTATTCAAAAAACTCAAACAATTTACCATACCATTAGCTTCCAAGAGTGACCCTGCTCCATGTAGTCCATTGTGATCAATCCTATTGACTGCAATTAGAAGCATACGCTATGTACTGCTGCTGATTCAGGGCTCCATCAAACCTCAATGAGGCTGTAAGAAATAAGATAACCTGAGGTGAAGGATAGACGGTGAACCCAAGCTTCTACTTCTTTCCATAGTCAACAGAGAGACGCTCCAAGAGAAGAGATCCAAGTCCAGAGCCAGTACCACCACCAATAGCATTGAAAACCAAGAAGCCTTGGAGGCCAGTGCAATTATCAGCAAGCTTTCGGATGCGATCCAAGCAGGCATCAACAATTTCTTTGCCAATTGTATAATGACCACGAGCGAAATTGTTGGCAGCATCTTCTTTGCCACTGATGAGTTGCTCATGGTTGAAGAGTTGGTGGTAGGTTCCAGTCCTCACTTCATCAATAACAGTCGGTTCCAGATCCACAAATATAGCGCGAGGGACATACTTCCCAGCACCAGTTTTGCTGAAAAAGGTGTTGAAAACGTCATCTCCTCCACCAACAGTCTTATCGCTTGGCATTTGGCCATCAGGCCGAATTCCATCCTCGAGGCAGTAAAGTTCCCAGCAAGCATTTCCGACTTGAATACCGGCCTGGCCGATGTGAACTGAGATGCATTCTCTCATTTTTCTTCTTCTTAAAGATTCAATATCCAGAAGGAAACTCTAAAAGGAATGGAAACAAAAAAATTGCTTGAAAATATATGAAAAACAAGGAGGGGCGGAGCGTGTATCCGTTCTACTGAAACAAATCAGATACCAACAACATCATTGAAACATTTGGTCGAACAGATTATCAACACCAGTAAACCTAACGAAATCGGAACTCAGAACACTCTATCAACACCAGCAACTACTGATACAACTCCAAACGTAGGAAACGAATCACCAAAGTAAATGAAAAACTGAATCCAATGTTAAAGCACACTAAGGTTCCAGGAATGACTACAACCTACGAATCAATTTCTTTCATACCAAGAATAGAAATAGAAGATGAATTGAGAAGATTCCCAGTAACTATGATGAGTTGATGACGACAAAAATAAACCACATGCACCGTAGCAGAAGCAACAGAACAACGACAACAAAACTGGAGATCCGAAAAATCTACAAACTCTGCAGTAGCAACGGCGTGAGAGTAAAGGAATTCAATCGTCGGCGCAACGGCGGAAGAGAAAACGACGCCAGGATCTTTTAGCGAGTGATACCATGATGGAATGTTGATGCTCCGGCACAAAGACCGGCATTGCTAAACTGCAATATGAAATGGAAAGGAGAAAGGAAATAGACAATGGAAAACAAACAGAGAGTATTAAGTTTTTTTCACTAACTGTAGAAAATGGCATACAATGATATTCAACACATTACAATGATTGGGTATTTATAACCTAATATTAACACCCTAACAAATCTAACAAATTCTTAACTAATTGCCAACTAACATCAACTACTTAACAGTCTAACATAGCCCTGACTGGAAAATAAAATGTGTTCGGACTAGTGATATGGACTTGCAGGTAACCTCCAATTATCTTCTTTTCCACCCACATGCGTTTAGGATAATGGTATTAAAGTCATATGTCGCGACTCCTTCACAATGTGGTCGGCATGGATATTTAAGTTATGATGATAAGAATAATAAACAAAAGTAATAATTTGTGGATTGATGAAGAGTCACGATAAACAGACAAGATGGCACACAGATCTGCAGAATGCTTGTTTTATGAGTACGTTAATCTAATCTTGCCATGATAAACTAACAATTTCATTTAATATTTTTTCATTTGAATGGTGTTATTTTTTTCTTTCGACCAGGCTTTTGTTTTGCACAGCAATAGATAATCTTATTACTAACATAGATCCGTTAATCAGTGTAGGAAAAAAAATCAACCAGTCCTATAAGAATCTCAAAATAATCAATAACCAAACACACCCAGCAAAGATGCACAATCAAGAATAGAGACACACAAACAAGTTTATGAAAAATTCTTATCTATTACAGTATTACCACCATGCTCTGAACATAATCACTTTCCTTCATCCGTCCTTTGTAAAAAAAAAAAATCTGTTAAGTATATTATTACATTGTCGAGACGGAAAACTGAATAAAAAATTCATCACCTGATTAACTATTTTATCAAAATTTATGAAAAATATTCTAAAATAGTCAAAATCCACAATGCAGATATGGAAAAAACATTATACATGATACCGTTTGATTTGAGGGTAAAGTTTATTTTAATTTATTAAAATTATAACCAAATTGATAGAATATATAAGTAACAATAATCAAATGTGTAATTATACTAAATATTTTAACTGTCGCATCATCTTCTCCGTTAAATATTAACGCAAGTGGCTTAATTGAATGCATTTAAATAGTTGAGTGACCTGATTGACAAAATTTCAAAAATATTGGTCAAAACGAAAAGGAGTAATAGTTAGGTGGTCATTGGTGGTATAGTTTACCCTTTATTTTAAATAATTTATCTTTAAATTTTTAACTAATTTATAATTATACATTGAGTCCTTTAAAATTTAAATTTTTATAAATTATATTAATAGTATTTGTCGTTAGTGGTACTCATCGTTGCTCGTCGAGCGTAGAAGAATCATCCTATATATTATCATTTTAACCTAATTCGATTTCATAACTTATAATATCAAATTCCACCCTAAAAAACAACATAATCATATTAAAATATTAAAATAGACACTTTAGCCAAAACCACTAATTGATGAAGTGGTTAAAGATATTCATATTACC